GGTTTCAGCAAGGTTTTCCCTTGCAGTAACACCAGCGCACCGCGCAGCGTTACCAGAGAGAGTAATGCAGCCTAGTAGAAGGTCAGCGAGCACACCAGGTCATCCTATGGTGGATTTTTCTTGCATTGCCTTACGCCTAGTGAGGTCTAGAAAGAGGGAGAAGCGCTCAAGGCAAGTCTAGACAGTGACGCTTGCTGATAACGTGAGAGTGGCTAGCGCTGATGTATGTTCGATAAAGTGATCGCTGGGCCGCAAGTCAACACAGGAAGAGTAGTGTGCAGAAGGGGGACAGTGGACGTTTTTTCCGGAAGCGCCTTTTCCGTATCTCCCAACGGCTGATTGATCCAACTGTAATGGCGGTTGGAGGCTTGAGCTTAGCTTCGATTCCGCGTTCTCTGGTGCCCTTTCTTTAGCTCACTCCTTTTTGCTCCTGTACGCCGCGTTCATCCTTCGTCGAAAGGGTTATGTCTCGAACTCAACGATAACAGCAACAACAAAAAACGAGAAACGTTAAAAAACCATTGGGAAACAATGTAGTTGCGAAAGTGTTTGAAGGACAAGCTGACAAGAAAATAGTGTTTCATTAAAAAGTCTGCGGGCAGAGAGGACAGGCAAAAGGAACGGAGGATGTATCATTATGTCAACTTTCGCCGTCGTCGCCCTCATTGCCATCACCACCCATAATCGCCTGTTCCATCATTTTAACGATTTCGTCACCTCTCGGCTATTGACGTCTGCCTGAGCTTGGCCGGTAACGCCTCTAACAGATAACAGTGGCTTTGACTGCAAGAGCTTGTATGGTCAGCGCGAGTTAGCAACGGAACAATGAATGAATAGCAACCTTATATAAAGCTCGTACGACATTTCGATTATGATATACCTTCGTTTGCCGCATTGGTCTATGAAATCTTATAGAGAGGTACTTAATTTTAGTTTCTTTCTAATTACACTGGCTAATTGAAGCTTGCGGTGTACGATAGGACTATCTCGCGACGCAAAGTTACAGCTTCGGCCTATTTGAACGAGATTACGATCGACATTCTTCTGCAGTTGTTATTTTGATTGCATTATATCGTTCGAACTAAAGCCTTCTAGCTGTAGACCTAAGGGAAGCAGACTTTTGATACTGGTCTACTTTGAAGCTTCAGAAGCTTATACTCTCAGAGTCTAGGATATATAATAAAGTGTTCGAACAACAAATTTCAGAGATCAAACACTTAAAAAGCTTTGGCACCTTTATTCGTTAGCCAAATGCGCAAAAACGGCGTGTAGTTGTTCTTTTGAACGTCGAACGACATCGGAAGATCGTCAATTTCATTTTGCGAAGCATGACATGATACGTACCCGTGGTTCGATCTCTGCAAACGTTTCCGATACTATTATATATTATTAGTTATAGTTTTAATTAACTACAATAGCAATAGTTTACTAGGCAATTTAGTATGACCTTCAGCCGTGTTATTACTACAATAAATTAAGGAGGTTTTTATTGTCACAACAGTACGGGCTAGTACCGGTGGTTCTTTGTGGTCAGGTTCCGTTGCCAGAAAGCTAGGTTAGTTTGCTCAGGTGGATTAGAGCTTTTTGTTGTTTCGTAGATCTTTCTCACGCATCCGTAATGGCCTGTAACACCTACCGCTGAGTGGAAAACGTATTCACTGAAGAAAGGCTAAAGGTACTGCGCGTATCCTATTATGATGGCCGAGCAGTTGCTGTTGCATTCGGTGGATCCAACCGATAGGATCGTGCCTAACGTGGAAATGGAGCGCCACCTTCTTGAACAAATCGAGCATCGTTTAAAAAAGTTCTGTCGTCTTATAAGGTTACTATATGGCGAGCTGCGAATAGGAGCTCAAATTTGCCTATTTGTCCTTCTCTCCGGTGGAAATTCATTGTACGAACTTCTTTTCGACATGTGCCTTTTCACTTCGTTGAAACAGCCACAATTCACGTACAGCCATCGCTTAAGGACGTCATGTCAAGTACTAAACCAATGACCACGTAACATCATTCTCTAAATCAGTGTCTATTTCTTTTCAAGAAAACGCCAATGTTGAGATATTTTTCAGTTTGTATGTACGACGTGGTTTATTCCATCGTCGATTAACGACTCAACAGGTGAGAAACACCCAACAAAGTATGGGGAAACATCCCTTGTTCCATGGGAGTTTTTCCTTTGAGAGCTATGTGCGGCCATATGTTGTAAACCTGGAGTCAAAGCTCTTGATGTATTCAGAACATGTAAAGCAGACCGACGATCTAATTACGCATAGTAGAAGACGCAGCGTCAGCCTCTATTCTTATACGATAACCGCAAGTTTTTAAAGACGATTCCCTGTTCAATCGTATACAAACTAAAGACGTATATTTATTTGTACTGGCAAGAGTGGCGAAAATGTGTCAATCATTGCAAAACCAAAGGGTTATTCTCTATGTGGTTGCTCACTGTGACTGTTCAGGCCTTGAGGATGCGTACCTATAATGTAATTTAAATCACAACAAAATAACTTTATAGCATGAATCTATATCTCAACCAATAGATAAATCCAATATGTCTTATTCGTGAGTACACTGGGATTAGACTTTATTGCCAACTATGAAGAGTGCGATGCTCCATAAAGCTCCGCGAGCAGCTTTGTCACAAGATGACTTTTGGCCATCTGGAGCGCAGCTACAGAAATGGTCTTCTCGAACAAAAATATCATCGCCCTAATGCGGTACCACTTTCGGTATTACCGACTCAATACGTTACTTATAGGAACTCTCATTTTGTTTGTTCTTCTCTATTTCGGTCTCGCATTCGCTTTATCTATGGAATTAGATATGCACACATTAGCACGACGTCGATACGGTCGTCCATCGAACAAGCCGTACGACTTTCCATATAGCTGCGCTACTTTCGACGAAGAAGACATTATGTCTGAACCCTTGACCTCTTGAAAACTCTCAACCATTATACGGTTGGAACGGAAGGCACCGGGGGGCGACTGTTGGGCATGTAGCAATGGGTATCAAAGCCATACTCAAAGCGATTACACATACTGGATTGACATTCACTCTTTTTCGTGAAATGATGCAGGGACGGAGTAAAAAAAAATACGGAAAGCATGAACAGCACGAATCCTCTGCTGTTTCTTGGTCACTTCAAGCCGACTCTAGTTTCCTGCCTGGTCATGTTCAGTAAAACAGACGGTCGTGAAGCGGTCTCACTCCGTGTATTACCCGCGCAGTACAGGAAGTGAGACGGATACTTGCCGCTATCTATGAATACAAAGCAGGGGTGAGTATGTGCAGAAACATCTAATAATTGAGTAGGGATTACTGCTTGTTCCTGTTTTGTCTCCCTTTTCTCGTTATTCTCTGTGCTGCTGCTGTTACCGTTGGTGCTGCTAATGCTTTCTCCAAATCCCCAACATCTTGCCTTGTATCGGTCGGTGAAGAAACCTCTAGGAGGCTGCGTGGCTTGGAGCAATCAGTAGGGGCCCATTAGGGGAAACACTGAGAAAGCTCATATCAGCGTCCACTCAAGCGGACGGGATCAGCCAGCTTTTCTTCTGCTCCCGTTTGGCTCTCGAGTCCGGCGACTGCTCGCTTCCTTGTCTCTTGCACTATCTCTCTCGGAAGCTTCGATTAAGGCTACCTTTGGCCTAGGCCCCTGTGCCAGATTGTGGCAGCGGACTAACCTGGTGGGCCATGGTGAGGCATCAATACTGTCAGCAATGCTAGCGATGGTCAGTCGTAGCTAACATGTGGCACGAATTAAGAACTTCTGTTCTTGCCATAAGTCTCACCCGTACCACCACCGTTACGATATTATCTAACAGATACGCGGATTTATCCGGCTATTTAGATACCTATTTAGGTACTTTGGTAGTGCTAGCAGCAAAGTAAACAGAGAAAAATGCACAACATCGAAGCAGCGGCTAAGGGTTCAAGCTTTAGATCCCTGCAACTGTTCATCCTCACGGATCTATGCAGCTTTATTGCTGCAAGCTAAGCCATTAAGAACAAAACATTCTATAGTATATGTTCTATTCGTAGTAAGTGCCGTTGAAGATGCTTCCAGCATCTAATGGACACTGCAAACTATTCCGGTGCTTAAATATTTCTTAGTTTTATTTTTGCTTCCGTGTATGACCCCGCTATATGTGCTTGAATGCTGCATAAAGCACACTAGTACGTTGGTAAAACAGAGCAAAGCGTAATTAAAATGAATATAGGGTTTAACTTCACTTGTTTTAATTTGGAAGTTAACACAATGTGTAGTATTGCATCCGAACAATAGCTAAGTTATTTTCTGAATGCGCTTATTTACTCATGTTAATGTTATCGAAACCGAGAAACATCATCGTACGCATTCATTAATTTTTATAGCCACCTACATATCATCATACGTCCAGCAGGCGTGCAAAGAGCAAGCCACGCTAACGGCAGCTTCAAATAATGGTCTTATGGTTGAAGGTACAGTAACTGTGATAACTTCAGTAGCATAACTTAGTGTTTTCGAGTAGTAAGCAGTACCCTTACCAAAATCAATTTTCTCCTTGTCGTGTTTGAACTCGAAGAGCGAGGGCTTCATCATCCCTTCCACTGACTCAGTCAATAATTATTTATTAGGTATTATACATATCGACAAGAGTTTATAAATGAAACCTAACATAAAATAGTACCACTATGAAATCTTCCTTAGTGCAACAAAGATCAGCACACTTCACCTGAAAATATTGACCTGTTGTACACGGAGATTGCGGGGTATGCGGCTACAAAGTCTAGCGCGCGCTCCCTATTGCTTTTCGACGTACCGAAGTCTAAAGGACTCCGGGGTAGAAAATCCGTGGGGCATTTTAGGCCGAGGTCGGCCAGCGAATAACAGTGAACAACACGCTAGTTTCGCAGTAAGTTTCCAATAAGGATAGTTATGCAAGATTTAGGTCCAAGCGTTGTTATTTTAGCGGTTGACCCAACAGTTCTTAATTCAGAAGTCTGCCTTAACTACTTACTTCTTTGCTGGGTGTGAGCACGAGAATGAAAAATCGAACTTCGTGTGAGGTTCTCCCCATGTTGGCGGGGTGCTTGAGTCTTGCCACAGCCACGTGACGCTTCTGTAACGACGGCAGCGCACAACTGAGAAAACCACAGATGCATGCAAGAAGAACAAACCATTGGTTAGTCACGCAGACGATTAGTTTTATCTATCGAAAATGAAGAGTAGTAAGGAAGTACGGTCGACATCGACGCGCACGGCCGAATGAGCAGTCAAGGCCCAACTCCTAGAAGTGCTAATTTCTTATACCAGTGAAATGAATTCATTCATTTAATTATAATAAATAATAATGAAAATAGTTGATATACAGATATATAGAATGATTAGTTAGAATTGTCTTACTTTTTAATCAAGCATCTTTTCAAACGTTCTTGTTTTAATCTAAATTTTCTTTGCAGCCAACTTCCTAATCCCTATACAAGCAACGAACTAATCGGCCACGAGCCTACTTCAAGTGCTGACATACTTGTAAGGCGCTTTGCATCGTAGCTATTCGGGGTGAAGTTCATTTTTATACGTGGGCCGATGTGGGTTTCAAAGTGAGTTTGTATTAAGCTGAAAGTAGCCGATATTTTATAACCTCAGTATGTATCTCATGCATACATGGTAAATAACTAAGTACACAAGGGTATGAAATACGTACGTCTAGCTTGTACACAATAGATAAAACAATTTACTTTTTCCCTTGGGAGTGTTGTACATTAGCTAGTAAATGTGGTGTATAAAAAAGTATAGACGTCGACATATCAGTGAATAGATGCCAATGCGATATGCGTAATCAGCGAGCGTTAATCTTACGAATAACTTCTTTAAATGACTGTAAAACTTATTGAAGTATTTACTCTGTACATGTGATAGAACTTGAAATCGCCGTCATAAGACTTCGTCACTCTTAATCACTTGTGCAACTAAGCAAAAGACAAGTATGCGCCTTTTCGAATGCATCTCGCGGGGAGGTACAGACGAACTCTCGGACCCGCGCGAGAACGAAGAGCGGGCTGACAGAATATGAGTAAAAAGGTTTGCCCGAGTAAGGACTCTATTCTGTGCTGCTTTCAAGCTTTTTTTGTCGTCGTGTCTTTAGTGCTCCGGTGATGCTCCGTTTGCATCAGCAGGAGCATCACTACTGCGTCTGATCAGTTGCGGCTTTGAGCCTCTGCCTACCGTCCATCTCTTGTGCCGACAGTGGGGAACCTCATATATTCCAAACATGCCACCAGCTCAGCGTTGGGCGTATTTGGAGTGTTCTTGGCCATGATGATAAGCTCTGGTTTCCCGAGTCCGCTGCATCTGCCGAGCTTCACCGCCGGTAGCGGCGGCAGTGTAGTAATAAAAAGTCCTCTTCAGCTAAAAAGTCCGCGATTCGTCCTGCAGCATATCCTCTGCATCTTCTCTGCGGTGTTAGTAACTGGTTGCCCTTTTTAGCCGTTTCATTTACCTCGATCTCCTCATGCTGTCTTGCCTATAAAGGCACAGGCAATCTGGCTAGGCCGTGGTTCGTTCGGCTAGAGAGTTGAGGCTATGGGCCACCGACAGCTTGTTTACCCTGCTGCATCGCAATAGAAACGAAAGTGGCTCGAACAAAGAAATAGACGCTTGCTTCTATCGAGGAGCCATTAGCTCACCCATTGCATTCCGAGTGCTAGGCAGAAAGAGGCCGGAGATGTTTGAGGTTAGCGGGGGTTGGGGCAGTATCAAACAGCGGAGGAACTGAAAGCAACCGTCAATCGATTCCCAGACCTTTTCTGCTGCTACGGCAATGAACGAATTTAGGACAGCGGTGGACATTCCCATTCGGTGTCACAGTAAAGCTCCACCGCGAAGATTCGAAGTCGCCCGCTTGCTACTCTTTCGTACCGCCGTGACATCACCAGTAATTTTCAAAAACCCAAACATAGACATTGCTCTAACTAAGATCGGTACACGTGCGGCTACGGTGCCAACATAAAGGGATGCACGTGTTTACGCATATTATAATGAACGAAGTGAATTACGTTTACCCCCAAGTTCAATCCTGTTACAGAGAAAGACCTCAGAGGCGAGCCAGCCAAAGGGCCCTTTCCCAGAAAACTCGATCTGCGTTTCGGAGGAAGAATGCCCGCCGTCTAACGATCTCAAATCAGAAGCAGCAGTGGATTAATCGTGTCCGTTCCAGTGAATCATCTGGTTGTCATAGGACCACTGGTGTATTCAAAAAAGTTGCGAGCAGAAGCTGCCAGCTTCTTTTCTTCCAATGAGCTTACGGTTGCTTTTTTTCGTTTATGGCAATGAACACAACTAAGAGGATTATAAACACGTGACATCTATAAGTGACGTTGAGCGTCGACAGGTTTAGATTCGAACCCGGGCTTAGGCAACTCGATGGAATACCTAATGGCGATACCGGACATAAAACGCGAAAGACAGAGGCCTTCAGTTGCATTAGTTAACGGGATGCCTCAGCTATGTCCTCAAATACTTGCATTAGAAAAATTGCGATATTCCTGGGGAGAAATCTGTGCCTAAGAACAACCTTTTATTTGAAAAACTAATTAAACTTCCATCTAACTTCATAACAAGACACAGATTTTAAGAGGACTCCACAGTAGCGCTCGAGGGAAGCGTATTAGAAGGAAATTCTTCGCGTTACATCATGAGAAAAACAAACCGTTATCTGAATCGGTTTTAATTTTATCCCATTAGAAATTCGTACAATATCGATAGAACAGATTCTGTTAACTTTGTTGAGTGCATTTTTTGGTATACATCTGGTCCTACTTCTGAAACGGCGGCAGGGGCATTTTCTTTAAGTTTGCCTACCGTCCGTAGCTTGCTATAGTACCATTATAGATAGAATAGAACTATGTTATATAATATGAAGGCCATTCAACGTTGCATTGCCTGGATTTAAAGTGATCCTTTAATAAGGCGATTAGTTTATTATTTACCTAAAGGGACGGACTACCCTGCTGAACACAAATACGCTGCGAATGTTTTTCAATCAATTAGGGTACAAATGGAGCCTGAGATCGTCTACTAGTAGGAAACAGGGTTTATAGTTTTATCGGAAAAAAGGGCCCAGTGAGGCCTCCAACTGCACAAACCGCAACGACTGTGCTTTTCTTGAAGTGCAAAACTCTTTTATCAATAACTTAGAGATTTTCGATCTACGACAATCTATGGACGAAGGACAGAACTTAAAGAAGATATTTGCCGGTCTTCTCAAAAAAAGAGCCAGACGTACGCGAGAGGCGACCAAAAATTGGCTGAAACGAATAATTACTATAAAAAGAGTCCCACGTTACGGATGTTGCACTGTGCAATGTGTAAATACACTCAATTGTTTTCTGTTGGGATCATCTTAAAGTTACTTTTTTACAGATGATCGTCCCTGTATTCTTTAGTTATCCTGATGCATCAACGATCCTCTCTAACTGACGGCAGTGCCACGCATCATCGCAGAACTAACAAGGACATTACTCAGCTGCTTCTGCCAATGACCCATGTATAACGTTTTTGTTATCACTTCTTTGATGCATCGTTCAACTCAGAGGAATTGTCTGTCATATTCCTTACAGAGTTTTTTGCCATTGCCTGATAGAGTTTTCATAACCACTTCCGTATTCAGGCCACAGTTTGTATCATAAAACTGGCCTTAAAGCAGAAAGCTCGGAGGCACTCATCGCTAGTCCACTCTACGACACGTAAAGATGTTTACGCCAACTTATGCCTGCATTATTGATGAATATTAGCGCATATGAATAAATGAGTAGTTGGAGCAAAATCAGCAAAGCCCGCGCCTCACTCTAAAAAGTCAGCTGTCCGCGACGTTCAACTGAATGTCAACCTGGCTAATTTGATGATATAAACCCAAGCCTGGAATGACGAACACTGGTCGTGCAACGATTTAGATCTGCCCCGTTTCGTCACCAGCGGAAAATTTACTTTTGGCTACTAACAGGATCTTTCGCCGACTCATTACCCGCTCTCAGCAAGCTGCGTCGCGTCGTGGGTCATTAGCAAAAACTGCCGTCAGAATCTGTCAGACCCATCTAGCAAATTCTTCTGCAACCCTTTTATCGCCGAAGCCAGCAAGCACAAACGATCCTACCCCATCCCACATTTTACTGCCATTCAGCAAGCTTTTGCGAAACCATGCGGTTGATTATGGCAATAGCTGTCAGTTAACGGCAAACAGGCGACGATATAATTGATACGTTTTTCACAACGCTTCCTCCTAGCCTTCCCAGAAAAGCAGGCGCAGCACATATCCTTCTTTAATGTCTTATCCCATAACGCCGTTCTCTGCTAAGAAGTTACGTTAGTCACCCTTTAGGCCTTATTCCTCTTCTCATAAGTTATTCGTCCCCCACAGCAGAGACGCACAAAAGGGGTTATTTATTCTGGCGCTGCCTAGGCAGCCGTGTCCAGGCTGGTGGCGTGTCGACTGTTTGCGCAACCCTCACTAGCTGAGCACTAGTAAGGGTCCGTTCTAGAGGTGCACGGTGGTTCTACAAAGGGGAATGTTTAAGTTGAGCACACTCGCACCCAAGCGTCTAGCTATTTTTATTATATATTATGGCTCTATAATGATTTCGCTACATGTATAAGAAAAAGACGATTATGGGAAGGCAACGAAGAGGTCAACGGCCGTTTATGCTCAGCAATTCATAGGCTTTCTTTAAGGCCCTAATTTCCTCCAATGTTCTACTGTTTTCGAAGTAATTCGACCGTAAAAACAAGAGTCGGAGACGGAAGGGTCGAAATAGCGAACCAACGCAATGTGCGGGTAGTGAACAGAAAAGTAAAGGGCAAAAGCAATGTGTGCTGAGTTGAGTGTCAATGGGACCGGGTCTCGGCTGCATGGGCGGGTTGGTTACGACCTTGCCAAGGCCGATCTTTGTCCGCGCATCGCGAAAAGCAGCGACAAACTGTACGTAGCAAATGAATTCGATAGAGAGCCCCACACTAATTCAGCTAGGTTTCTAAGGCTGTGCTAGCGATGAAGGTCGTCACTTCTTCTTTGCGGCGAACTGACGGCAGGGAAAACCCGCTTGCCGAAAAGACTTCTCTTAAAACCCTAAAGCAAAAGCTGACTGAG